ATCCCTGAGACTACATCTAATCAAATACTGGTCCGCAGCGTAGATCAAAGTGAAAGACAACCAGATTTATGGTTTATTTAACCTTTATTTTTACATTAAATTTGAGTCTGCCATAGCATTTGATTATTATTTGCTTAAAATGTTGATTATACTCAGAAAATTAAACTTAATTTTACAATTTCTTGAAGGTTTCCTGGTTCAGAGATAGTTATTTTAATCAGTTGTTGATATCCAGAAGAGTTTTACTGAAATAACTAGTCCATTTGAACCCATATATTGAGAGAAACATTCTGACATCCGGCGAACTAACGCTGGAAAAGAATAAAGCTCTGCGGGAAGGGGACAGACGGCGGGAATCGATGGCGTCAGTCTGAGCCTGAGATGTTACGCGCTGCTTTAATAATAAAACTGCGTGAAGTGCAGAAAAAAAGCTCCAGAACTCACGGTTGGTTCCTCCGAGAAGATGGGGACGTGAGGGTTTGGTGCAGACCCGGAGCTCGCTCATGTGAGACCATGCCGGCAGTCGAAACGCCGCCTGCGGTTTGGGCAAGCAAGAGCAACAGAGTTTGCAGAAACAACGCTGCAAAGATAAATCTGAGCTAACGCTTAATATTCAAAATTGAAAACCTATGCTTTTCACTTAACTGCCAACGCCGCTGAAGCGAACTTTGGTGACCGTGCTTTCCAGGCAAATCGCCGTGTATTGAAAGGGCGCAGGATTCAGCTTCTTGGCAGTACACAGCAAGCTTACACAACGGCTACAGACAACCCACTTGGCTAATGGCGTAATGAAAGCCTGGGGAAGATGTTTTCAAAACACGGGAGATGCATCTTTGGGGGCAAGCCTTTCTTTTTTGAAAGCCTTTAGAATGCTAACTAACTAACTACAATCAAAGTAAAAGTAGGCCACCGCCTCGTCTTCTGTTACTTTCTCATTATGTAGCACACAACCCTAGCTGCGATGCCAGCCCAGGAGCAGAAATATCACAATGAAGTTATGGAAATTTGACAGGGGATGACTATGCTTAAGTTTCTTCAAAGTCATTTTGCTAGGAAGACTTTAACAAGCCTTACAAGCCGGGTGGAGGATAATTCATTTCAGACGCTGCTGCATTGGAGGTGGAATAAATTGGATTAAATGTGTATTATATATATATAAATGAATATAATTGTGAAGAAGGAGAGCTTCATTCGTGGCATTCGATAAATCCTATAAAGTTTGGACAATAGTTTACAATTGGGGAAGCGGTTCCATATGCGCGGCAGGCTGGCAGCACTCGATTGTGCGTGAGATGAGACCGCCGGATAGACGGGCCGGGGGCGGTGGTCAGGATCCGTATCGATCTCGTTGATGGACCCTATTGCAGTAAGCAAACGGGCTGGCATAGGACGGCCCGCGGGATGACGACAGGAGGTGTAACGAGGTACGGAGGGCAGGGCAGCTAGGAGGGACCAGAGGAGTATTTTACATTGTTTATAGAAACAAGTAAACTCTGGTTTAGGTAAAAACAACGTGAAGGGCTGCAATAAAGATTTAAAATTGTAATTCAATTCCAGGACCAGGTCAAAGAATTAACTTACAGTCAGAATGGATTTTATCAATAGGTGAAATCTGCCACGGACTTGTTAGTTGATGATTTTGTCATCTGCGTTTTTACATAAATGACGCCAAATTGATTTGTCATTAAAATGGAAAAGACTGAGGTTTGTGGTTGGATCCCTGATAGCTTACGCGGGGGTCACTATAAAGGCTGCAGGTTCAGCAGAACGCAGTATAAATTCCCAAGTTTTCTCATTTCCCAAAAAAAAAAGCTTATTGTGTGTTTATTTCTTGTCAAGGAGTTAGGATGAAGTAGTTTATAAGTCCTTTAAAGCGCAGCTTGTTTGACAGTGAAGGGTTAATATGCGCGGGGTTTATTTAGGGGAGCCTAACGCTCTCTCTCTATATTGTGTGTTTGGCCCATGAAGGAGTCCTCTCTCTTAGTCCTGTATTTTGTGGTGCTGTTTTGTTCTGGTGTCGGCCTTCTCTCTCTCAATTACTGGGTTTTATTGTTTTCCTTGTTGTATAACAGAGATGCCTATTTGTAACCTCCGTGTGAAACCTTATTGTATCCTCTTTCTTATATTTTGTAAGTTCTCAGTTACTCGTCAGCACAGCATCTCTTTATATTATTTAAAAGAGCATCCAAGATGTAGAATTAAAAAAAATATTTCCCCCAGTCGAGTCAAATAAATTCCCCGCCCCACTTGGCAGCGGAATGCCAGAGTGACAACTAATGTATGTGGCACCGGCTTCATAATTTAATCTAACACCTGACACCCATTACCAGCCATGGTGTGGTCGTGGTGTGTTGCTGCTTGTGTGGTGGTGTTGGTTTTTTTATAAGGGGTGGTAGAGGGCCATAAACCCTATGCTTAAAGTTCTTATATCTTATTTTTAGACGAAGCGAAGACGGTGAACCAAAACACTCATAATTAATCCATCTTTCTTCTCTCTCTCTCTCTTTTTGGTGTGGTGTGCTTTAGTGTTTATCCTGTGTATTTTTTATATTTTTTCTATTATTTATAAGGTGGAGTGGATAGCTGGTGCATGTGAGGTGGTAGTTGATGGTCTATCTCCTCTTTTTCTCTCTCTTTCTGGTTTATGTAAAATCTGATTGCCTCGCTTTGTCTCTTTTTTCTAGCCTGTTAGTTATTGTTCAGTTTATGGGAGATTTTAATATGGGTGGGGGCAGGGAGGAGGAGAGGAATTAAGAGGGGGAGACAGGCAGTTCCCTCGCTGCCGCTGTCTCCGGTTAGTTTATCAGCCTTCGGGCCTGGAGGAATGGCAAATGGCGTAAAGCTATAAAGAGATTGAGAAGTGTCTCTATATTTTATCTCTGTGTTTTTTTATCTCTCTCTCTGCGCCCCTTCAAGCCCCTCGTAGCAGCCGGACTGCTAAGCCCTTCTTCTGCCTTATTAGTCCTTCACACAGACACCCACATCACTTTCTTTTTGCTTGTTCGCTCACCCCTTCACCCCCTTTCCACTCAGTAACTCCTTATTTCATTTTCCTCTAGTCTTGTTCTACTCGACATTGGCTGGTCTTTTTGTGTATCGCTAGTTGGCTGCCCGAAGTGGATTGTCGACAGAGGGCGGAGCCTGTTGGTGCAGCATCCTTCTTCAGGACCTCGTGATTTATCCAGGCTCCGTTTTCTGGAGGATGAGTTGCGCCGGTTGCCCTCTGGACTCGTAGGGTTTCTGGCGATCTTTTTTACATAGTTAAACGAAACCAGACTCTCTTGTGAGTGTTTTTGAGCAGCCTGGAGCAAACCAGACCGGGGAGGGAAAGGCACTGGCATGTATTTTTATGTAGGGGTCAAACAAACTGCGGGTTTTCATGCTGCAGGAATTATTATTGTTAAATATTTCATCTGCTGGTTTCTCTTTCTCCCCTCACTCACTTTCATTCTTGTCATTTCACCGTTCATCCCTTTTCTCTTTGTTCTTTGTTTACTTTTTCTGTGCGATGTTTATCGCAAAAGAAATACAGCAAGTAAGCTCTCACACACACACAACAACCACATCACAATCCAATATGTGATGTTTATAGACACGACTGTTTGGCAAACGTCGTGAAAGTGTTTGAGGCTCTCGACAGACAAAAGGAGCAGCGCTGTTTTAGTTTGCTGCGCAGCGTTATTTTGTGAATGTTGCCCGGAGCCAGCGCCGGTCAAACGCGAGTACGTTCCTCATTGGAAACATCCACACCAAGTCGCACTTTGGGTCTCCTGTCACTGTCCTGAAAGGAAGCAGGTGACAGGTTCAGCTTACTGGGAGGAAACGGGTGGTAAAAGTTACATGTGCCGCGAGTCCAGATATGGTGTGAGCTACTAGTCCAAAGCACGGACCAGAGGTTATTTTTAGCTCTGGATCAATGTGGCTCGTTTCAACCTGCAGGGTCCAATACTTTGCACTGACGTTTATTCAGTTATTCTATGGATCTTCAGCTTTGCCAGGCCATGGAGGCTGCTATAAGAGAGACTACAGCGTGGGGTGTCACGGGTACGGGTCTTACTCTTCCGTTCACGCTTAGATCTGCTGGAGCTACAGTATAGGACGGTTATGGGAAAGACAGGCCCTCGGAGACCGCTACCATCTAATCAAATACTGTGCGTCCGCCCAGCGCAGGCGTTAGATCAAAGTGAAAGACAACCAGGATTTATGGGTTTAATTTAACCTTTATTTTTAGCATTTGAAATTTGAGTCTGCCCATAGGCATTTTGATTATTGTTTGGCCTTAAAAATGTTGATTAATCTCAGAAAAATTAAACTTGAATTTTTACAGAATTTCTTGAAGGTTTCCTGTTCAGAGGATAAGTTATTGTAATCAAGTTTTTGAATCCAGAAGAGTTGTACTGAAATAACTGGTCCATTTAAACACCATATAATATTATTCATTGATTATGTTTGATTTATTAATTATTAGTTATTATTATTATTAGTTATTTTATTTATTGATTATTATTTATTATTAGTAGTCAGTTGAGTAGGAGTAGTAGTAT